ACCCTGGTGATGACTTGGTCTCGACAGCTATGAGCTGTGTCAATCCACACTAAAATTTTAATTTCAGGGCTCACTAGGACAGGTGTGTGCGCAAAATCGGATAAAATCTAAATCCCTACATTAATAGGAGGAAATTCGGAAAAAAATCGACCCCTTCTTATGACGAGGTCTCGACAGCTAAGAAATGCACTAAACGGCACCAGGGTCAATCAAATAACCGATTTGCACCTGACGCTGGAACAAAATTTCCGGGGCTTTTTCCTGCGTATCTTGGAACGGTGCGTAGCTGCCGACTGCTAAGCGACTTCCGGGGCTGCTTCAAGCATTTCCTTGCCCCTCTAAACCATCGATTTCCCCTAAATGCCCATCTCCGCTTCTCAAACCTGGATACAACTTTATTTTGACGCTACCCAAGAATCGGCAATCTAGCAGAACAAATAAAAATTCAAATGGAAACGACTATAAAGACCAGTGCTTATTTTCCGGCAGAAGCGGCGGCCTTTTTGGCCTCGTCGGCACGGCGGGCGGCCTGCAAAAATTGGGTTTGCATAAATGGTGTGTTCATTGTTGACATCAAAGTGAGAATGTAGTGGTTGTTTACCTGGGCGGCAAGGAATCGCTGCCCTCGGCCTTCACCTCGGCGATCAGGTCGGCGACGGTCTTGCCCTCGAGTTCGGCTTGGACGGAGGAGTCGACCTGAAAACGTATTATTTTAAAGCGGAGGTATATTAAGAAGAATCGGTCATGAATTGAGACAACGAAATCAGATATTTTTAAGCGAATTTAAGTCATCATACGATTATAACAAGCTCGAAAGCTAGCTTGACTTTTTGAAGCTCAACAACATCGTTAGCAAAAGCTTTGCTTTCTGGTATGGCTATCAAATAAAGCCAAGGACATGAGACAGGAGCTCATTAACTTTTTCCAATTTAAAAACCAAACCTTTGGCGTCTCCAAGGTCACGTTCAACTTTCCGACATCGGCAACGTTGGAGAAGGAGTACTTGGTGCCGACTCGATCCAACTCCTGTTGCAGGGCCTTCTTCACCTAAAACGAAAGATAACGTAGCTTAAAAATAGCTTGCATTGTGCTTCCGAAAACCAAAAGCCATTAAGAAAATATTTGTAAACTCACGGCAGGGTCAGTGTTGACGAGATCTCCGCCCTTCTTGGCAAACTCCCGGATTTTGTCGATGAAGACCTGCTGGACGAGGTCTTTCCTGAAAGGATTTAAGGTATTTAAGGTATCCAACATTCTATTAGCCTACAAATGCCTAATTTAATTTGTCATTTAATCTCTATAAGTTTTTAGCTACCTGCAAGCCGGGGAGGTGGTGAAGGTGCGGATGGCCCTGTACATCTTACCCTAAAACATCAGAATAAGTGCTTATAAAACTTTAGAACTACTCATGAATTGAGATATTATGCGTACGATTCGACAATCACATTAGAACGATTAATTTGAAGTCCAGGCTCCACAAATCAATTTAACAGCGTATTTTTCTTCTTATTACATAGGCACAGGGCCGTAAGAAACCCAAATTTCGGGGGGGGCGACCCCAAAAATTTTTCACTAATATGACTAAAACTACAGCGCCGCAGGCAAAATTTTTGAAAACAAAAGGTTTATAACACTAAAACTAGTGTTAAAAATAGACAAAAACAGCGCCGCAGGCAAAAAATTTTTTGGAAAAATGAAATCATAAGGGTCCCCCCTTATGAACTTTTCGGCCTTCGGCCGATTTCGGGGGCGGCTCGCCCCTCGCCCCTCTTACGGGCCTGCATAGGCACAAACAAAATGATTCGAATAAATACGGAATTATGTTATTTGCTAACTAATGGCATGATATATTCCTGATTCAGATAAGAAAACTACAAAGGAACTCGAATCCCTTGCAAATCTCGAGCCGCGAATATTTCCCTGGGAGCTACACGGCACTCCTATGCCCCTGAAAACCGCGTAGAGGGCCAACCCAGATGTGCGCCAGCATTGTGCGCTGACACAATGGGTGGGGTTTGGAAATAGTGGCTGCTTAAGAAATGAAATAAAGCAGAAAATATCGAAAAATTGAAAGCAAAGCAGTGCAAGAAGTGCTTATAAGTATCCGATTAAATTTATACAATTTGAAGGGAATACGTTGAAAATGGCTTCGCTTACTTAGTTAGGGAACGAATGGGGTAAAAAACTACAATTAATTTACGGTCAGCCCTTTATAATAATCCTATTTTGAAAAGACAGAAATACTCTGGTATATGGGAATCAGGACGGTAAATAGAATTACGCAAAAAAACTGCCGGATATGGTTTTTTGGCGTCTTTTTTCAGGTTTCTACAGTTCTCAGGACATGAATCCACCTTTCCGGGATTGCTGTAGATTCAAGAGTACCTGAAATCTCATTTTCCAGCTTTGGAATATTTCATATTGTCATACAAACCCATATTTCAACACTTCCACCCCGAGATCAAAACAGAACGATCGTATCGACGAGTGGAACGCCGTTCTGGAGCTTTTTTTAGTTTTTTTTTTGACCATGACCATCCCATAATTTTGCTAGCAGATCACCGAGTTGCGATGTATCAGCCAGAAAACGACGCTAGCCAATATGGCCAGTGATAGCCACATCAAGGCCATTTCGCCTCGGGTCTGGCGATTTCGTTTTTTCGGTGCTAGAGCAGCAATATAAAGCGAGAGATCTGGGTGGGGAAAACATCATTTCATCCTCGATATTTTTACGATGCTCCGGATATTGGTGTTTTTTTTGGAGTTGTGTGCAGGTACTGTAGTTTTTAGTAAGTCAAAAATCAAAAATTCAGCGCCCTCTCCGACTACGACTACAAAGGCCGTGATTATGTCAAAGAAAAAGCGGATCGTCTCGTTTTCGGGTTGTGGGGAGTAAGAAAACTACAAACTGCACTAAACACACCAATTTAAGATCAAAGACCTCCCAAAAATGCTCGAGGTCGTCGACAATGCACTAACGGCTGGATACAGGACTTTTTGATACCGCCCAGGCTTACGGTAGGGGATCTACAGTTATCTGAAATTCCTGGAGTTTTTTTTAGATAATGAAGAAATCACGGGTAAGGCTTTTAAGGAGCTGTTGCCAAAGCATAATTTGACCAGGTACAGTATCTGGAATTACTCTAAAATTCCCGTTTTTTGGCAGGGAGGACATCTTCTTGGCTACAAAGATTCACAATATTCATCAGGGACCTTTGGCAGAGCCGTCACTTATTGAGTAAGTCGAGAGAGAGAGAGAGAGGGAGAGAGAGGGAGAGAGAGAGGGAGAGAGAGAGAGATCGAGAGATAGAGAGCTGGCTCACTCCATTCCTAGATCTATGAAGCTCCTTCAAGTCGACTATCTCGACCTCGTGCTCATCCACTGGCCCGGAGTGTTCCCTGTCAACCATTCCGAGCCCAAGCGCAATCAAACGGGCCGAAAAGAGACGTGGCAAACACTAGAGAAATTTTATGGTAATTTATTGGATTTGTGAAGAGACAATTTTTAGGTGAGGGCAAACTGAAGGCCATCGGTGTCTCAAACTACATGACGCATCATTTGGAGGACTTGTTGAGCTACGCCAAGGTGCGATTGTTTTACCGGATTTAAGCTAATTTAATTATATTTTAGGTCTTCCCCGCCGTCGACCAGTGCGAATTCCATTTCCACTATCAAGTCAACAGTCTCGTCAAGTTTTGCAAGGAGAAGGGGATTATTTTCCAGGTATGAATAATTTTGAGTCCGGATTTCTCTTCTTTCTCTCTCACTCTCTCTCTCTCTCTCTCTCTCTCTCTCTCTCTCTCTCTCTCTCTCTCTCTCTCTCTCTCGCTCTCTCACCTCTTAGTTTTCCTAATTTAGGCCTATTTCTGCGCCCTCCATCTAACCCCAGAAGCCGCAAAATCACAAGTCGAGGACAAACTACCCACCGATATTGCCGCAAAATATAACATTTCGTCAAAACTCCTCCAATTTGCGTATCCATACAATTTGGGAATGAGGTAGCGTTCTCACAAAACCATGCCACAAAAATCTTCAGTGTTATGATGCGCGCCACATCACCAAAGCACATCATCGAGAACTTGAAGGCTAAGGAAATTGTAAGTGTCCCTTGCTATTATTAGTACTATAAAGAATCATATAAAAATGCAAAAAAAATTTAATAAAACTAATTTAGAAACTCGAGCAAGCGGATATCGACGCTTTGACGTTAAAGAATACGACCGGGCACAAAAATTGTGGAGACCCGAAATTTGTGACGGATAGTGATACCGTTAAGATTATTGAGGCATAAAATAAATAGATAAAAAGTTTTAGTAATACCGTATGTTTATTAGTGTTACACGTAAAGGTATACATTAATGTTACCGTACGGGGCATTAATAGGGGGCTTGATTAGCTTCCAAGGTCACATTTCCTTATCAACCGCGCCGATTCTTTACCAGCAGATGTATTTTTGGCATTGTTCTGATACGAGAGGATTGACAGTTTTTCTACGTTGGTTTTCCGCTCAATTAGATTATATTTTGTGCCAATTTTATCTTCGCTATTAAGTTTTTTCAGTAATTTTTTTGTTTTAAACTCGAACTAATGATTCGTCCCAGCTTCTTAACTATTTTCGATAATTTATAAATGTTACTTTTGCAATTCACGCATGCTTTCACGCCTGCTTTTCGGCAATTCAATTTGGCGCGCTTTCGAATCGCGGGGAGCCTATTCGGGAGGCCGTGGTGAAAAACACGCTAGGTTATTTAGTAACACCAAAACCTCCCCAAAAAACCAACAATTTCCATACAAATATACCTTAGTAATGTTTAGACAAACCTTAAGTAGTTATTCAGAAACAGGTTTAAATTTTGAATCAAACTCGATGTTGAATCCATTTTCAAAAAAATATGTCCTCACGTTATACAATTCTATTCCTATAAAAATGGGTCCGATCAAGTAATTACACGTTCTTTTTCAGATAAATGGATCTCTCCACATTCCCCGCCGAAATCCACGACAAAATCCTTCGCTATCTGGACATTAAGCAATTTATGCGAGTCGCCTGCACTTGCCGAACATTCTGGAATCGATGCGAGGCCCTCCCCAAGAAATACTGGAACGTCAAGGTGGAATTTCCAAGGTCAGAGGGTCCCCAAATCAACCAAGCCATCATTACGCAACCTTATGCTCGGCCAATGACCATCCCCTCCGAGCGGACAATCGATTTCCTATTACGCGACGCTACTGTTCTCGGGGTTCAAACTTTTGAGTCTCACATACCCGGCCTTACCTCGCATAAGCTGGCTATCGGAAATGGGCTGCCGATGATCGGGCTTGACCCCTTCCCCGTCCTCAAGAAGTACAAACCAACCGGAACGTACGAAACCGTCGGCATCCACCACTTCAACCCTTACCCAGAATTGGTGGAGTTCATCAACGAAAACGTGGCCAATTTGGTTTTCCACCCGGATGTACGACTTCCGGAATGCCTGGATTTGAAGGTGAAGACCATGCAGTGTAAACTCTCATCCCAGAGGAGAGGAGCCGAAGAAGCCGTCGAATTCGTGGTCGAACTGGTTACGCAATGGAAAGACGGCGCCCGGGAGATCGAATCCATTAGTGTGCAGTGCCCGGAGTTGCTTGGTTTTGGGCTTGCCTTCGAGGGGCTGCTTACGCGACAGTACAATGCCACCAGGGGCATCGTCATCAGGGTGGATAACCAGAAAATTGTGATCGATTTGGATGTGATGGTGAATAACGAGACGTGGATTTGCCTCAGAAAAATACCTTAATCTACTTTAAACTATGATTGGCGTATGTGAATTTTAATAATTTCTCCTTTAAACGGTGATTGATGAGCGTGAATTTTAATAAATTATTGCACCCTTTTATTGTCGCGAAAAATACACAGTACAAAAATATACAATTCTAATTAATTTATCTATAGGCTGCCAAATATGACTTTAATACCAACTTTTATCTGAACGCCCTAATTCAAAGAGATTTCCCAGAGAGTAATTACTAGGTCAGCCACGTCAGCTCGACACTAATCGGTCGATTTATGGTGTCATTAATGTGTGTCATTTTTGCGCGGGAATTTTAAAGGAATTCCACCACCTGTCCGGGAGATGAATCAAAGTTGATCAGTGGAAAGATCGCCACAACATTTCTCGCTCTCTCTCTCTCTCTCACTCTCTCTCTCTCTCACGCTCTCTCTCGCTCTCTCGCTCACTCTCTATCTCTCTCTTTCTCTCTCTCTTTCCTTCTCTGTCGTCCTCTCCCTATCTATCGCTCTCTCTATTAACTTCTCCTTTTTCCGAATGGACCTTTCCAATTTCCCAGCCGAAATTCACGAAAGAATCCTAAAATACCTCTCATCAAAACCTTCTACAAAACGGCGTGTGTCCACTTGAACACACCTTTGAGACATTTCATACAAATTTGACTTTTTGAGCGAAAGATCATGAAGTATTATAGGTGATCGTGAGAAAAATTGGAAAAATTTCTTAAAAGCCATTTTATGACCTTCAGCACCCAAATTTTTAAGATATTTTCCAATAATAATCTCTGATAAATCAAATGCCACGGCATATCGACGCTAATCGGTGGCATCATGGTACCATTGATGTGCTTGTTTTTGGGCGGGCATAAGATTTTAAGGAGAGTTTCCCCACCCGCCGGGGTAGTGAATCAAAAAGGATCAGTGACGAGAACACCATAGCATTTTTTCAGCGATTTCGCCACGTTGTCAATGTCGTCGCATTTTCAAAGTATCGTATTCGCTTTTGTGGTTTTGGAAAAGTAGCGCCGTCATTTATTGCTTTTTTTGTCATATCTCTCTCACTCTCTCTCTCTATCTCACGCTCGCTCTATCTCCCTCTATCTTTGATTTATCCGCGTGCAATAATTAATAAAATCCTTTTTTTCCAGAATGGACTTCGTGAACTTCCCAGCGGAAATTCACACAAAAATCTTCCATTACCTCGACATCAAAACCTTCTACAAGACGGCTTGTGTCAACCGAAAAATGTGGATTCGATGTGACGCTCACACCAAGAAGGATTGGGCCGTTGTCCTGAAGATCCCGAGCCACCAAGTCTCAATGCAAGAGGAAGGTATGACGATCGCGATGATGATCCTCGGCCACCGGACATGGCTCTCCGTCAAGGGGAAGAGATCGATCGATCTGCTTTTCCGAAACGGACTGGTGAACACCGGATATGCATACGGTCAAGGCCTGGATAACACTGCTGTTAAGCACATTTCCATCTACTTTGGGCACGAAGACGAATGCCAGGTGCTGAACGCCTTGAAGAAGTTCAAGCCGGCCGGGCAAAAATATTCGAGCCTTAAGATCCGCAACTACAGGCCCACCCCGAAATTGGTGGAGTTTGTGAATGCTTGGACGGATATTTTTGAATTTGTCCCTGTTTGCAAGCTGCAGGATGCTGATGAATTCCTTGGAGTGAAGGTGGCCACGGTTCGTGTGAAGGCCGGCCCTGGCATCGAATACCAGTGTATGGCACGGCATTACATGAAGAGATTCTTGGAAGAGGTACGCAGCGGGGATCGAGTGATGAACTGCTTGACCCTGGTGGATCTGCCAACACGTTCTTACGCCGTTTATCCCAATCAATCGCCGGCCCCCAGGCTGTGGGAGCGGCTCGATGATGCTCATTACTTGGAGTTCTGGACACACGATGTGACGGATACGGTTTTCAGCATTACCTGGCGATACGCCGAATACTGATGCGAATTGTTGACCTTTAATAAATTCTTTCAGTGTTGACGCATGGCAGACGCATTATCGGCATTATCGGAGGGGGGAGGGCTATGAGAGGAAAGACACAAAAATTTTTAGCATTTTAGCATTTATTTTTGCAACATTTAAATAGGGAAAGTGTCTCCGATATTTTTGCGATCATTTGGTCCCAAAGCGGTGCATAAAAAATATGTAAATAATGCTGGTCCCTAAACCGAAATTTTTGAAATGATGAAATAAAAATTTAAACATTTTAAGAATTTCAAAATTGATAAATATTTTTTACTTGAAACCCAGTTAATTTTTTCTAGAAACGCCATTAAATACTGTCTATTACTTTGCTAAGACCTGTACGAAAAATTAGATTTTCGCGGTGTGATTCAAATGGGCACGAGTTAGGTATCGAGCGCTGGGCGCTCATCAAAGAATTTTACAGCTAAGGTGTTGTCGATGAAATTACATTATTTGCTTTTCACCTGGAATAAAAAGGTAGAATCGCCTCTTGGGATCTAACTATTTATTCCCTTGGTTTTGATGGTTCTATCAGGACCAGAGATTCGCCATGCAAATGTTTCGATCTCTTCGATGCAGTCGTAGAGCTTTTCCTGGAGCCGCGCAAATGTGGGGACGAGATCTAGAAATCGGGGTTTAAGTGGTTTTTCTTAATTTTCGAAGTTACCCTAACTACTTTATTCTAGCGTTTTTTTTCAAAGTTAAAAGCTAATAACTTGATTTTAATTTCTGGCACACATGCTTGAATTTATTCGCCTTAGCCAATGTCAGATTAGGCGCCAACCAGTCAGAAACCATAAAATAAATATGTAAATATAATCTGTATTATAATTCCAAACCTGCGTCTGCGATATGAAGCCCATTGCAGACGAAAGCGAAGGCTAATTTGTGGCTGACATCTACTTTTACGTTTTGGCCACCGTGGCCCGAATGTCCGAAGCACCATTCGCCCTGAAAAAGTGTAACAAATATATGAGAAAGCTTCTATATTCCTTATATCAGTCATTAAATAGTAAAATGGTAAATATAACTTAAAAATAACAGACCCATCGATTTTTCGTATATTGCCAGCCATAGCCCTTATTCTCCTCATAGCCATTGATGATGTCCATTTCGTTCTCGAGCACTGGTTCCTCGACCATGTCATAAAACTACAAAATGGGTTTCGAAATGCAAAGAATCTCTGCTAGCTTGCCCTGATCTCATCATACTTTAATGATCTATATTTTCGGGGCACCTTTTCCTTAAAATCCCACCTCCTCGGACATCAGTCGTTTTTTCGCCAAAAGTGAGTGAAGTTGAGCAAGTCCTTGCGCATTTCCGATTCCCATATTGGACGGCATCGCCATTTTTTGGTTCTCCGGATTGTTATACT